GTCAAGATTAAAGAATAGTGATTTTCAATTGCTTATATATGTAAGTTTTTGTAACTGTGATTCTTGAACCAAACCTGAAGAGAAAAATTCATTTACTTAATCCCATAAGTTAACTTGTAATGTAAAGCTAACAAACATATTTTCATATGGGGATGTATTGATGGGTCGGATGAAAAAGGTTGATTAGATTGTGTGATTCCAAATTAAAAATTTTGATCACTTTAGCTACCCTTGATGGTGAAAAGGTCTAATAATTTTTTTGGATATAGTATGTAATGGCACTCAAGGTAAGGTTCAGAGAATCTGACAAACATCCCATGTTGAAACTATTATCAGTCAAACACCCAAGCCCCACAACTATTTGGTTTAGCTTAGAAATCAAAAGAGGGAATGTCTAAATCATTTCATCTACTTTTTAGTAGTTTACCATTCTGCAGAATATTTGCACATCTAATTTTCTTCTATAGGTATTCACACTCTATAAAGAAACCTTTTATCACAACTGATAAATACAAGGGGGAGACCGAAAGGGTATTGCTAAAGGAAAAGGCGTTGTGTTTATATTAATTAGGTAGAGGCATAGGGTTAAAATTATACAATGTTGTCGCAAAACTTCTTTAGTGTTTGGTGTATATGGCTGGTGGGGGGGTGGGGTGGGTGGAGGGGGGGTTGATTTGTGTTTTACTTTTTGTAATTTATTAGTGTAGTCACAACAGATTGGTTTGTTTGAAATGGCATCAAACTAAAAAAAATCCTATAGAAAAAGATTAAAGGAATATCAAATGGTCATAATTCACACAATGTTTCATTGATGTTTGAAGGTTTTCAATTTTTTTGGGGCAACACTGCAATGACTGGATCCTAATGATATTTCATTGACGTTATGATCACAAATTTCTTATGCAAATTTACCTGTGGTGTTTAATAGCTTTCAACAAGAAGTTTTGAAGTTCATCAAAATACACGGCTACGTCACAATACAAAATGTTTCAAATTTCTCAGAAAGAGATAAGCTCAAGTGGCAGGAGTCATTAACTTATTCATACTTTTTTTCACCTGCTTTGATGTTTGGTCTCCTAATACCTAAGGTATAATGTTATTGTTGGTTTTCCCATGAAAATACAATATTATTTCTGGTACACCTAAGAAATTACAATTTTATTTTTGGTTTGCTCATGGATTACAAGGATATCTATTACACTAAAGCTCCTGAAATTACATTGCTATTGGTGCCGAAAGTTTTCTAAAGTCAAAGATCAAGTTCTGTACAAGGTGGTTCAAGCATCTTGCTTCCATTACAAGTTAAGCCTTATTTGGTGTGTGGCTTTTTAGCATTCTAATTTTTCATTTAATGAATTATGGTTCAGTAAAATTTGGTGTAGTTAACATTTTAATTGTATATGCATATAATAAAACTTTTATTCAAAATAATAATAATATAAATATCATCGAAACTAAGAATTTTTCTTGCCGAAACCTATAGCCTCTTTTCCTCCTCTTTGTATCAATTTATTACCATTATATATTACCTTTTCATTTAAGTATTTAGTTATATGTATTAGAGTTTATATAAAATTATTGGCATGCAATTTTTGGGTTATTTGGTATAAATTATATTGCCATGCAAATTATTTTGTTAATACTTTTAATCTTTTAAAAAATCTTGATTTTATTAATTTTTGGGTTATTTGGTATGAAAATGGTAAATTATTTATTAATTTTGGTAGTTTTGGGTTATTCGTACCATAATTTGTTGTGTTAATTTTAAAGATTACATACAAATATTTGTTTGCCAATGTATGATTAGATAAATTGTTTTTTATTATATAATTTTTTTATTATCAACCGTGTTGCATACGGCTTATAACCTAGTTTCATGTAATTTACTCTTTATATTTTTATACAAATATTCGAGAACTATATAATCAACAATTCAACACTCTACGTATCCAGTAGATTACATTACATACCCTTCCCGTAAACGGTCTTAAATAGAAGCGGAGAATATCCTCCTTGCAGTCCCATTAAACTCTGATACCCCTTCTAGTCACTGTCTCCCCTCCTACTGACATTTCTCTAGGGTTTCGTCTTAAAAAACACAATGGGGTGTGTTATTTCGGAGTTTGAGGTCGTTGATACGCTTTATTTCATATGTCAATGATCGATATTGAGGTTGATGATATTAAAGTAGCAAAAGAAGAATCAGCATATTACAAAAAAGGTTCTATATCTAACCATTTTGGGTTACTTACATATAGTTGTAGTCGACACTTTGGACCAACCAGTCAAACCTATGTCCTAACATACGTACTAAAGTTTGATATACCAACTTTTGATATGGTTGTTGGACGAGGTTGCTCTCTAAGATGTAGGGCTATGTAAAACATAAAATTTAAGATTATATATTTTATCCTTAAGGTGTAGAGGTTAATATAGGTATTTGAGGTGTAGAGGTTAATATAGGTATTTGATGTATAACACGATTTATAACAAAAATGGTGATTTCAGTTGTAACATCCGCAAATTGGAGCTAGAAATTTTAACATTAAGTGTACTTCCTTAAAAATAGATTAAACGATAGATTTAATTAAATAAAAACAATTTATTAAAAATTTAAATTTGGTTAATTTATAATAATTAACTTATAAAATTATTTCTAGGGTGGAGAGTTAGACTTTTTAAATCTTGAGAGTTCAAATATGACATTTGACTCTATTCAGTCGACTATATTTTGGGATTACTTGTTAAAATATAAATATTATAGAGTTAAAATAGAAACTATAACATTATGATAATGTTAAATGCAAGGTTATTTAGAAAATTAACTAACCATTAGTAATCCGGGGAGCAATTCATGCCAATAAGGGGAAAAATTAAATCTAAAAGGCACCGAGCCATCCCGTATTCTTCATTTAATATTTCCATATGGTGTTCCAAACTTTGCTCAATTCTTTCTTACTGTAGATGGTGTTTAGGAGTTTGGGATTGCAGGTGGAAGTTTTTTGGGGGTTTATTCTCTAGGTTTGTGTTCATTGTTCTAAATTCAATGGTGAAGGTTGAAGGGTCCGATTTGGAGATTTAAGTTAATTGATTTTGATATGATGAATTTGTCGAGTCCCAGGATTAAATTTGATTTTAGATTTGTTTTGATTACATGCACTAAGAAGGAAAACAACTATTTTGGTTTTCTTAATCATGGTTTCATGTTCATCAAATATGATTTGAGGTTCCTTAGGTTTGCTTTCAAGGATTATATTTATAGTTTCTTTATTGATAAACAAAAACTATGATTTTTGTGTTGTATTTGAAAATATTTTAAAAATCTCTTTTTTCCAATTGAACCAAATCTAGCGACCAGTTCAATCGGTTCAACCATCCGTTCAAATGGGATTCGATAAAGTTTTATGTATTTTATTTTCACACACACACACACACACACACACACACACACACACACACACACACACACATATATATATATATATATATATATATATATATATATATATATATATATATATATAAACCAAGAATTTTCTACATCTGGTAGTAATGTACATTGGTCTTTGAGTTGTGTACACTTTGGATAATTTAATAGATCGAGTTGTTCAATTTGCTTTGAAAATGAGTTACTTTACCACGAGCCAAGTGAAATCAAACTATCCAAATCCAAGAAACAATTTGCTTTGGAAAATTAGATATTTTTATTAATACGCTAAGTGAAATTGTACTATCCAAGTCCAATAAATCAGCTCAAACAATTTTTTTTTCAAATTTATCACTCATGTTCAATCCAGTTTTTAAAGAAACCATCCGGTTCAATTCAAGAATAGATATAAAACTGGTCGTTGTTGAACCACTATTGTATATAGTTCAACAATATGGTTCGAACCAGTTTTTAAATACTGGTAGTTGACATTTTCTAGGGTTTGATATACTCAAACTCTTGATATTTTTGAGGTTTTTAGTTCGTTATAAAATGAACGCATGTATTTATTCTGAATGAATCATAATACGCACAATGTTTTGTAGTATGAAAAAAGGTTTGTGGTGGAATACCATAATTCTGTCCGAATGTGTGAAGAATCTAGAGTTTTTTGGTTTTGTAAAATGAATGCAAATATGTATCGTAGCAAAATGAAATCTATAAATTGTATTTTGGGGTTTTGGAATTTAAATTATATAAGAATATATAATATAACACTTTATATTATTTTGTTAGAAGTAAATTTATTATTCGAATAAGCGTTTTATGATAATGAACATGCATGTAGTAAAAAAATTCTATTAAATATTCTCCTATATTTTATTCCTGGTTATCTTCCTATCATATCAATTGTTAACATGTGTCACATTTAATGACATATTTAATGATATTGATTTAATTTTTGTCCACTTGTCACAATTTAATGTGGGTAGGAGGATAGTAGGAATAAAATGTAGGAGGATTTTTAATTTCTCTATGTAAAAACATGTTTTAAAACTAATATTTTATCATAATGTATGTTCAAAATATACATTCAAAATAATAGTCTCTTAGAATTAAAGCATATGTATTCATAAATGTATGTTAAAACCTAGTTATAATGTAAGTTAACATATATGGGTTGAAACATAAATAGTGTAGTAGTCTTAAAAATATATGCTATTAGAATATAAATTAACATGTGGGGGTAGAAATAAATTTATGGAGTTAGACTTAAATAATAATAAATGAAGGTGTGAATGTATTGTTATTCTGTTAGAATGTAGGGTAACATTATGTATGATATATATATATATATATATATATATATATATATATATATATATATATATATATGTGTGTGTGTGTGTGTATATTTACTCTGTTAGAATATGGTTTATATTAGTTAGTAATTGTGTTTATGTGATTCAACGGTTGTTGCATAAGCACCACCAGATATTGTTTTGCCTGAGATACAACACCAAGTTCAACAGGAGACGATTATTATTGGTAGTATAAGCGGTAAACAGAAAAAATGCAATATTCTGTAAGAGTAACACCTGAAAAGGAAAAGATGGATTCTGTAAAAGCTACACCTGAAAAGAAGAAAGCTAGAGGTTTAAATGATCTTGGAGAGAGATATAAGGTCAAAGACAAATTTTGAAAAGATAAAAAATGTTAAGAAGATGAAGATGATGGTAAAGGTAAAAAAAATTATGAATGAGCCTGAGTCAAAGAAAACTCTAAAGATAGAAAAAAAAAAAAGCAATTATGGACTATGAGAATGTGAAAAAAAATTGATGAGAAGGTTAAAAAAGTGAATAGGGAGGATCAACGCAGTTGTGAAAGTGATGCCCACTGCACAAAAATGGCATTGTATGTATAGGATTTTGATTACTACTGGATCTTAATATGGACAGTCTTTCGAGGTTACTTAACTACTATCTCATAGATGCGTACAATCCAGATAGTACCAATCTAGTCCTAGAAAGAATGTTGTAATTAAAATAACCAAGGATACAGTACATGATATGACGGGGTTGTCAATTGATGGTTTTAACTTCATGGTGATCCCAAGTTGTGAAAAAAAGGAAATGATATTCTGACAAAATGGAAAAATCAATATGAAACAAAAGGGTTTAATGATAAAGAGTATTTAAAGATGATTAGGAACACAAAACAAGATAATATGGTAGTTAGGCTTAATTTCCTTACATTGTTCATTAACACTTTTGTAGAATCAACATGGAGTGGTACTAATCAAATCAATGTGGTTAAGAAGTTGGTAATAGTCAATGAATTTTCCACGATTGATTTCTGTAAGTATATTTTCGATAGCTTGGTTAGCAGAAAGGAGATGTGGAAAAGGGATGATAAAACATGCTATTACACTGGAACTATATTACTCTTGACGGTATGTTTGTTATGTTATACAATTGAAAAGTAGAAATTGGATTAATTATGTCTATTGAATTAATGATTTGATGTTTTTTTTTGTGATGTAGCTGGTGCATGTTTATAACATGAAGTTTTCAAACCCTAAGTTGGTCAAAAAGCTACCTTTTATCTGACATGTTAAAGGTGACAATTTAGGAAAAATAAAGAAGTTAAAAATCAAAATGGGAGGGTTCGGAAGGCAAATACATGATGACTTTAAAGATGTTTGTGTTAGTGATGGAATGTTGGATGGTCTCAAGCAATATTATAGGGATGAGGAGGTAAGACTATGACAACCGTCAAATTCCGATCAAGACAAGTCAAATAAAGTCAACAGGTCAAACTGGTCAACTCATCTAACCCTTGTATATTAGGGTTTACATTATGTTACTATTGTACAACTCACTATTTTAATAAGAAGTTATCGTTTACAAAGTTCATTGTTAAGAAATTCTAAACCCTAATCGGGGTAAGCGATGAAGCTATTCGATGAAACGTTATTCCATACCCCTCAGGGGCATATAACCATCATAACAAAGCTTATCGGGGTGTACGAACCTTGCGTTGTGAAGCTAAACATCCAAAAAGGTCACAAACAAAGTCTCTCTCAATCTCTCTTTATCAATCTCACTCTCTCTCCCCCAAATCTCTATCATAACCTCCCTCAACTTTTTATAAGGATTTGGGGGCATTCTGACCCTTAACTTAGCCAAAAACTATGCAAAACGGGGAGTTAACATGAGAATCAGCCCTTTAGGGCCGAACCTTCTTAGGGCTGAAACCCTAAGAAGCGAAACCCCAAGGAACCGAAGGTAGTCTTAAGAACCAAAGATATCCCTATGAACCGAAATTGCATATGGAACCGAAGCCGAATCAGGAAGAACCAAAGTTGCTTGAGGATCGAACCTTGCCTGAACCGAACCCGAAGGTCCCATAGGACCTAACTTCGCTTCCTTCCCTTCTCGCCTGCGACATCTCTTGGACTAAAGCTACACTCGACTCTCAGCTACAACCGAAGCCACCCTCAGTTCTCAACCTCTGAAGACCGAACCTGAGCTCCTTATCCAAAATTTCGCAGATCTCGCCCCTTTCACCCGGTTTTCGACCACGACTTAGTTTTAGGCCCGGTTTTCATGATTTTAACGCGGGACTTTCACCCAAACTTATATTTTTACATATAAGACCCCATATTTCCATAATCTAATCACATTTTGAGGGTAATCATTATCTAAGATTAAAATATAGTGGGTAAGTTATTTAGGTGGAGAGTTGACTTATCCTTTGGGCAAGGACACAAGTTACCTCCTATACCTACTCCATGATCATCCAAATCACTATTTCACCATACCTGGTAATTCCATGCTCCTTTTCCCACTCTTTCCAGTCAAGCACCTTGATCCAAGGATAGAAAAATCCTTATCTCTCCTTCCATTTCACTCACACTCCACCAAGAAGCAAAAACTCATTCTCTCTCACTATCCCTCTCTAATCTCGAAAATTCAAGGCTGATCACAAGTTCTTCATCTACTCCTAGTAAGTAATATCACTCCTCACATGATTATTTCTCTTTCTTTCTACTTAAATCATGGATATCTTACACAAACATCATCATAATTGTGTTAGATCTTCGAATCTTCAAGCATCTTCTAAAGTGTTCTTGAGTTGAACACTTCCTCTCCTCATCATCCATATACTAAAACCACACAAGGTGAGTTCATACCCCTATATTTTCATGTTTTCTTCAAGTTTTAGGGGGAGAATATAAGTTAAAACACCAACAACATAACTAAACTCAAACATCAGCTTTCAACAGAAAAGTTAATGTTCATTAACAAACTATTTTGAAAATCTTAAACTTTTTAGTTTTCAAACCTGTATTTGGTGAGAATAGTTAAGGTTTATACCTTTAAAATGACTACTTGCACATATCCATACAATTTTTCTACAATTTATGGTTATTTTTACAAAACTGCCTAGCACTGTAGCTACGAATTCAGACCTGTCAGTGATTATGGACATTTTCACACTAGTTAGGAGCTTCTAAAAATCATAATAAAATCTGTGAACAAACTAGACACATTTTCTAAACTCTTAGAGTTTACGAATCTAGTTTTGATATCGTATGATTTTTCTGTGATTTTTCTAAATTAGTGTAGAAATGGTAAAAACGAATTTACAGATTACAACTTTATTAACACTTTGTAACATGTTGAGCAAAGTGTAAATCTTGGATGGCTTCGTATTTTGCATGTATTTTCTATGGAATATAATTATGCTACAGAAAAATGTACACTAAATTGTAAGAACTCCTTTTTTTTTTTTTTACAATTAATGCATTATGAGGAACGATATACATAGTATTATATTCTACTAACACAGAAAATGAATACTATACATTACAAACATTTGAATAAACTATAATATATATTGTTTATATTGCATATACATTACGAAAGAATGCATTTCTACAAAAAGGGGTTTTCATTTTCACACTACGTAAATCTGTTAATGAATAAATTTGTGAGACATTCGCTTCATGTAACTTCCAAGTAGCGCAACAAAAGTCCTTTAATTATAATCAGAATATCTTGTAGGGAGAACGTGATAGTTGTGTATAGATCTATATTGGATTTGACAAACCCACACCTTAGCTGCATGCAACAGCTAGACCGGCAGGTCTTGGGTGACAAATGTCATTAACATTCCAACGCCTGAAGAATGTCATATACAAGGCCAATTAAGTCATAGTATGGTTATAATAACTCACATGGGGTATTAACAATCATAAGATTTACGGGATTTCCATTTAAACTAACAAGTTTATGTCGATTTAAACTTGCATGTTTTACAATTTTATGTGGAAAAATACTAGAACACTATTAGTCTTGGCATTTAAGAGTACAATACATTTTAAAAAGGGAAAATATTAGATTTTCTGGAACAAACATTACTTTTACAAAGAGGAATTTCAACATTTCATTCAAAAAGCTTATGAACTCACCAATTTAATTGTTGACACATTTTCAAAAATACTTGTATTCTCAGGGAATCAGTAAAAACAGGTAAACAACAGCTTTTGAGGATGGAACGCTAAGGCGTCAAACATTTTATTTTTGTCAACATAATGTAATTGATTTAGATCGAAACATGTAAACTCATACTATGATGTAACTTTTTCAATTATATTTATGTTGGTTGTTTGTACTTTGAGCACGATTATACTCGTGGTTGTGATACTTTACATGAAGTCCTCCACCCCCGGACGTTTCCGCCGTTATTGGTTTTGGGGTGTGACAGATTGGTATCAGAGCATTGTTTATAGTGAACTTATTATATTAAACCACATAAGATATACAAACTATAAATGCATTGGGACTAAGAGTCTCTGACTAAACATTTTTCAAATAACTATGCTTTCAGAAATGAAATAGTTTCTTGATAAAAAGCATAAGTACATGCATGCATGCCGGTATAGTGGCACATCTAAGATAAGTTACGAAAAGTAAAATAAAAATAGATGAGTTGGACACTAACATTATGCCTCGGGGTATGTAATCACGTCTAGGAGGAATATTGCCTGATCAACTATATTCGTCTGAGAAGTGACTAGCATATGGCGGGGGATAGTTGTAGTGGGCAACAGGTCTATTAATATACCCACAATTGTACCAGAACCACAATTAGAAACAAAAAAATATTTAAAATACTATAGGAGTATTTTATGTTACTAAAAATACAAATGTTTATTTATATTTAAAAGCCTCTTACACCCTATTCTCGTACAGACGACATGGCAGAATTCCATTTACCTGGAGACCCGTACTTCCTTAATGAGGGAAACACTGGATGGCTCGAGGCAGAACCCGAGGAGATGATCGAGGAGGATCATGAAGAAGATCCTGATGAAGACCCTGAAGAAGAAGAAGAAGAAGAAATGGAGGAAGACGAAGAGGAGGGTCCCGAAGTGCATGACCCTCTCCCCGTACATGCTCCTGCATAGAACTATCCAGGACCGACTCCCCAATGGGGAACAAGCTTGGGATTATGGAGCCAGGAGAAAGGCCAACCCCACCCGTACGATGACAACAGATGTTTCTACAACCTCGACATGGGAGGCTCAGCCGACAGGGACCTCCCTGTCATTATCCACCGTATCGCTCAACACGATCAGCAGATCCGGGCATCCGCTAATCAGATCTTGAAGGTGGGTGCGACTATGGAAGTCACAGCAGCCTGTTTTCGGCGCTTGGATCAGGATTACAACCACACCAGGAACCACACCAAGGTCCTGCAGCGGGAAGCTGCTCTCGCTCGGATTGAAGCTCGAGAATACCAGGAGCATTAGGCCAAGATGGAGAGACGATTGACGGCAATGGAGCGTCAGACAACCAATGATAGGGAGGTGATCAGGGCAATGCGGGCACTCATAGCCGCCTTCTAGGGAGTACCAGATGCCACCCGCCGCTAGTAGTGTTCACACTACTCACATTTTGTTATAAACTAGGTTTACGGGTATGCATTAGTGCTATTCTTTCTTGCAAGTAGGTTCAACCCTGCGTCTAAGTGATTACACTATTCGAGGGGTCATTATGCTATCAAAATTTTCTTCTACAATGATGTAATGTAGACCTTCTATGAGGTCAAATTTTCTTAAGCAACGTGTACTAAACTTATATCAATGAAATTGACTTGCATTTTATTTTGTTGGATATTTGGCATGGGAACACATAACTTGATGATACAAACAAATTGAAAATGATGACTCTAAAATTCTTAAGGTGTACCTCGATGTTATGTGTAATTAAGGGGAGATCGACTTAGAAATGGTGAGTCCGCCTTAAGACCTGTTCCTTGTTTGGTTGTGGACTTAGGGCGTATTCATTAGGTTCAACGGTTTATCAAAACTTAATTACATGGAACCGGCGTACATTGAGTGAATTTTAGGAGTGGATCAAGCATAAAGTAGAACACAAGCGTTCGGTTGATTCACTATTACTAAATTCATAAGTTTATTTGTATACTTTATTTATGAATTGTTTGCAATTACCATGAAGTTGAGACATAAATACTGATAATGTAGCACAAATAACACCCGACTTACCCTACTACTGAAGACTTACCAAGGTTTTTGTTA